GCAAAATATGATAAAAAAGACCATTATTTGTGACTAGTGCTGTGGGAAAAAAAGAACATACAGAACCAAAAAAAATCACTGCATTATTAATTATGGGAGGGAAGGACAGGACAGGACAGTAGGAATTTGTGTCACATTGTGACATCATCTTAGACCTATGCAAGTTAGTCAGTTCATCACAAGTATGTTATTTCATGGTTTGATCGGAGGCATCAGTATGGTTGTAAAACATGGATAAGCAGTTCAAAATTGTAAATTATTTATTTGCATATTCCCAGTATTTCTTCAGTAGTTTTGTTTGTTTGTATCATTCTTCTCGTCATTTCTGTCAGGGTTATTTTGGGGAATTAATACAGAATCATGTGAGTAAACTTTCTATAGCAAAATTTAAACATGCCAATTGACACATGAAATCTGTACAATTGCAGTGAAGCTGAAAACAAATTTTAATTCAATTTTTTGACTATGCTGGACCATGAAGTAAATAAATGTAAACAAATTTGAATATATAATTGTTGTGTGTTTTTACCCAAGGTTGCTGGATACATAAATTAACAATAGAAATTATATAATAAGGAAAAATGTGACACCTGTCTAACATTCAATGATTTTCTGCCATGAGAACATGAGGCATATCATGTCATATCATGTTATGTTATGTTATTCAGGTAAGAGGGACCAGAATTGCTAGTAACATACATTAGCTTCAACTACAATGTACTACACATTTCATAGAGAAACGTTAATTTCTATTTTATATCATATTCCGTGAGTATGATATAGCTCTTGGGTTTGAATAACAGTTATTTGAACTTTTCAACATTTTTATAAACAGAACAATTTGTAGGTGATAAAATCTTGAATATAGAATGAAATATACCTGCTGCTAACTGATATAGTCTGGGTAAAGTTGCTTGTACTCTTTGTATACCATTTGATATCTGAGTTACATATCCACTAAGTTCTTGTCCAAGTGTCAGTGGTACAGCATCCTATTCAATATAATCACAAACCATATATATTAATTTCAGCTCTATGTTCTGCATTATTAAAAATCTTGATCAAAAAATTCACCAATTTATGATTAAAAGATAGTCAAGTAAGGACACAAGAATATATGTTACCTCTATATTTTATGAGTTTGTAACTAACAAGACATGAATGTCACAGTCCCCGTCATTTCATTATATCAAAGCTTAGAAAGAACTCCTGTGTACTGAAAGTATTGAAGACACAATAACAATTAATTCCAAATTACTTGTACCTAAGATATTGATGGAAAAACTGAAAACTAATTATGTAAATCAGGTAACTAATATAAACAGAAAAGAACAAAAAAATTATGAATTATTATGCTAATTAGAGAATTAGGCGAGGGTTCTCAGACCATAGACTCCGGACTATTTTGAACTGTAGGCATCAATCAGCGATTCTGTCGGTGACGGAGAGATAGAATCTAGGTCAGGGGAAGCCCCATGACCTCAAAATTCGTTTACCCCTTACGTCACAAACCCAAGTGACCGAGGCCACATGGCACTCTGGTTCCTTTCTCTCCGCCTCAAGGACTTAGACCAACGCGACGGAATGAGTGGGGAGGTTGGGGGCGACCCGGAGTCTATGGTGGGTATGAACTATGTGAATAGGCGGGTTTGGAGAACCCTCGCCTAAATTCACTACGTTCAATTACCC